AGCCTTGTCAGTCAGATCAGGATGGCAAAGCAGATAGTACAGATGAAGTAATTTTTGTGTCCCGCCACCAGGAGCCTACCTGTGCTGGTAGCTCCAACCTTGGTGACCTCATTGGCCTCCTGCAGCAACAAATGCGTTCATCTGACTGGCTACAGAAAAACACAGCCGAGCAGTTTGCACAAGAAAAGCCAGAGATCTACGATGTGTTCAGCAAACTGGTGGGGAAGCAGTAGGGCTCAGTGTGCCTTCAGGGGGTTTCCTGAACAGTGACTGACCCTGGGCCGCTAACAGCTCAGCAGTGACTTCTAGCAAATAATATATTTTCTGTATAGCAAGAAAATCACTTTGTAAAACCCCTCCTCTCCCTCCTGTTTGAAATCTCTAATTTGTATTATATAGGTGCATTCCTTGGATCGGGGTGAGGGTAGGGAATGGTGGGGGTCATGTTCGCCTGCTACTCCCTCTCCTGTGGCATCATTGTATTTTGTATTTCATTTCTAATGAATATGCTCTTAACTCTCTTATAAGGTCCTGTGGTGTCATTTTTTATGCTGCTTATTTCAGTCTTTCCAGAAAGAGAGAGACTTGAGATTGTTAGAATGTGTATAGTTTCCCTTTTCCTAAATGATGATCAGATGTAACTACTTCAGGGCCAGAAGATGACTGTATTTGCAAAGAGATGTTTTTAGGAGACAGAACCTGGTGTCAGCCCTAACTTAGCCTCAGCTAAGGGTAAATAAGCGTGTGTACAGGTTCGCCAGCGTGGGCGAGGCTCTTAGGACTGTGGTCATCTAGTCTGAATTCTGTAAATCTTTTCATTTTGAGTTTGTTTCCAGTGTAACCTTAGATCAGACAGTATCCAACACCCTTAGTTGGTGAAATGCCTAGTTTTGTTTCTATCCTCCTTTTTTGTATTCATATAAATAAACAGCGTCTATTGGTCTCTTGGCACAGTATCCACAAAAGAGCTAAGAACAGAGAGGCGATTGAAAGTAGGTGTTCACTCTGCAGCCTGCCTGTTCCTGGAAGTCCATCTCTTCTGGTTAGCAGTGAGGTGTATTGACAGGACAATGCAGAGGATGCGGCTTCTTCCACCGTGCTAGGTGTACCGGCTGCAAGCCCACAGGCTTCCAAGGTGGCACCTTCCACCGTTATCAGGGTAATTAAGGCAATTTTTTAGCTATGTTTGTCAATCTGCAGGGTAATTTTTTGACTAAACAGTATTCTTCTGTCTCCTCTCCTCCATCTCTTTTCCATTTTATAAGACACTGTTTCCTGTGTGATGGTGATAAAGTATTTAAGTTGGAAAGTTTCTTTCAAAGATACAAAGCTCTTTAATTTCTGGTCCTATAAAATTTTAGGTATCTTAAAGGAATTTAATCTGTTTTTTCTGCATGCATATTAATCCAGAGTTCAAGGAAATTGCCCATGAAGGCTGAATGGAAGTCTGCCTTTCTCCTTCTGTGATTTGTTCTTGCAGTAACCAAGTTTCATCCTGGTGATATTACGGAATCTGTTTATATAATGAGTTAAGAGAGGTGAAAGATAAAATTTAGGCTAAATTCTGTGCTGTTGTAATTTGCTGATCACAAGCGGAGAACCGTTTCTACTCTTGCAGTCAAGCCTCCAACATGAAACTGGAAAGACGGGAAAAAAAAATCCTTGGTCCCATGAAATGTGTACATCCCGCTTAGATTTCTTTGCTGTAGATCATTTAGGAGAAGGGTAGTATTGAGAGTTAATAGGAAATTCAAATGATTATTTGGTTCAATCTTCAGGTAGAACAGCTTTCATTTTACTGTTACTTTATGAGGTGGGATGTCAGGCTCACAGCAATACCATTGTGGCTCTGTTGATTTTGTTCTTGGGCATCATAGATTTGGGCAGATGGGCATGTCATAATGAGTGACAAAAGCATGTGTCTATATCATAAAGCAAATTGCCAAGGCATGGCTAGCAAATAATTAATGTGACTGCACTTTGGAGAGGTGACGGTGGAGAATTGCCTGGACAGTGAGAAGGGCAGTCTGACCAGTGGCTGAGGAGAAGATGGTGCTGCATGTGGCGCCTGTTAGAAGTCACCAGTCCCTCTCTCAGATGCCAGCAATGAGGCAAGGTGGGTGAGGTAATTGGTCAGATGAGTATCAGGGATAGTTATAAGCATCATATTTTCTTATTAGTTTGGCATTTGTCTGTGTACAATATTTTAAAGTGCATTCTTTGTTTATTGTAATTTATTTTCCATTTGCTCTTGGGTGTCCACAAAGAAAGCTATAGCACAAGACAGGTCTCCTTACTGGAATGGGAGGTGAGATGTACAGCCAAAACACAAACGGACTTACTGGTTTTCCCCTTCTTATTTATGTGTCCCAAGGAGGGTCTGAGCAACAAAAACTTGGGGAGAAAGCTCTTTGAAACAAAGCACCCAATAAGACTGTATAGCCATTAGTTGACGTGGTATTTCAGGGCATTCCTATAACAAACTCAACCCATTAATCACTCCTAATTTTCTTTCCTTTTGGTGTTCTAGTCACTCCTATGGTTGGAGTATGTTAATACACATTAGTAACAATATTTATGCTTTTCACCCGTAGATGTTTACTGCTCAGAAAGCACGTTTATTGTGCTGTGTCTGCGTGCAAGCAGCTAGTAAAGCACACCTCTCTGTAGGAAAGAGGGTGTCATACACTTTCAGAATCCTCACAGATGATATAATATGGCCCACAGTCACATCCATCAAAGCAACAGGACAGACACACATTTTGTTGCATGCAATATTTTCCATGGTTTTTTCATGTTTAACACCTGCCTGAGGAGCTCTCCTCTGAGGAGTGTTAGCTTGGTCACAGAAACTCCAAGTACAGCTGGAAATGAGGCTAGAGAGAAATGTGATGTTATGAGTCTGCTGTTGGAATAAGCAACATTGGTTTTGACTGTACAAACACCATAAATTTTGAAAATAGCCTTTACTGGTTGAAAAGAATTGGTAAACATTTAGAAAGTCCTGTGTATATGTATATAGATGTTAAGTCTTATTTGCTGTAAGACTACCCTGACAGAAAAAACACAGGCTTTGCCTCTGCAAATTGTTTGCTCCTTCTGCCAGCTCTGTGTTAGATGCTTTCTCTGCTCGCTGTTTCTCATCATTATTGTTAATGGCCTTTTTTTTTTACTGTGTGGCAAATCTCTACAGGAAAACAAATTGATAAATTATTAAAGACTGTCCCCCCCCGCATTTCTTTCTTTTACAAGTTTGTCAAGCAATAGGCAGAGAGCAGTACCTGAAATGATGAAGCCAGTCAGATCTATATTTTTTAAAACTGCTGCATTTCATCTAAAATAAGAAATGCTATCAAGATGAGTTTAACACTGTGCCTTCATTGCTTGTGTCCGTTGTAATTAAACATGATGATAAAATCCACTTTACATAAAATTTTTGCATTCAGGTTATCATTCGTTTGAGCACAGAAAGGATCCTAGATGGCTTCATGGTCCTTGCCATGTTCCAGTCTCTCTCTCTTTTTTTTTTCCTGCTTCTCTCTCTACTCCAGAGAAAAGTTCAGCTTTTCTAGGTTAGAGGTGGGAATTTTCTGTACAGCACTACTCTCGGTTATAGAAACTTCCCTAACATACATTTCAGGTCTGTCCTTGATGTGTACTTGTTTGTGGGAGGGGAGAATCTGTGAATCTCCAAATTATTAACCTGAGTTACATTGCAGTTAAGCAAACAGCATAGGTGCGGCCCATTCTAGGCAAATATTTATGAAGGATCATACATGCTTAAGGAATGAATCTGAAGATGATTCTTCACTTACAGAAACTGAATATATCCCAAGCAAAGTATCTGCAAGGGAAAATATTCACTAAGAACTTACTAGTTCTCTACCTTAACTGAAGAAGGGCAGCTGCTCAAATGTCCTGTATGATGGATTTTCTTCTAAATAAATGCTAGTACCTCAATTATTGTCTTTATTAGAATGAATCCAATGGACCGTGCAGCTGGGCTGACTGCTGCGTGCTCTCCCTATCCCCACAACCACCCAGTTTCTTAAAACCTGCCTTGGGGTCAAATTATCATTTATATTGACAATTCCTCTGCAGTCCTCCTCCAGTTACTTGGTTACAGAATCCCTCTGTTGCTCTCGTGCTGCTGGCAGAGCAGTGATTTCATTTCATCAGAGACATGGTGGCACACAAGAGCTGGATAAAAAAACCTTCTCATGGAGGAAGCTACATGAATCACCCCCTGAAAATTTCTTCATCTAAAATATCAGGCTTGGAAAAGGATACAGCTGCTTTTTCACTTTTAATTGCATATGCAGCTATTTTTGTAAGATTGGCTGACCTAATGGGATTGTTTTGGTTCTTTCTGAAGCAATTCAGACCGCATCGTGAAGAACAGGGCAAGCTAACCTGCAAGGAGATATATATATATATATAAAATGATGTATATTCCATCTGAGAAAATGCGAGTGGCAAGATAACGCTCATTCTTCATTCAGTTTAATGCTTTATTTATTACTGACTTACATAAAACACTGGCAACTGACGGATGACAAGATCCTAGATTATCTGCAGCCAACAAATGTACTAAAGAGTCTGAGATGGTTATAAATACTCTACTTTTTGTCCTCAGTTTGCTGGGATCAGTTATTTTTAGCAAATAGCCAGTCAACCTTATCAAAATGAAGAATCAAAAATAGTCTGGAAAAACACTGCAAGGAAAGGCTATTTTTAGCTGTTCTGTCTATTCCCTGCTGCT